GGGCTGGAATCAGTTAATAGAAAAATAGAAAAGGTGAACGGAAGGGAGGAGTCTAAAGCAAACAACAACCAACCAATTGACCAACAAACAAAAAAAGTCCCCTACTCAGGTTGGAAAACTGTCCAGAATGGAACCAGAATGAGCAAATGAAAGTCTCAGGAAGTCCTGTTAATAGTGTTATTGTCATAGATGTTCTACACTCTCCTGCTGCTGGTTCAGTTTCATATCTTGGATCACAGAGACTGACTTTATCTAGTATTTCTATCTTAGTAAAACATGTAGTCAATAGTAGGAAATAGGGGGCAAGTTCTGTTAAATGCCTCTGTGGCTCAGACACTTGTTTTTTTTTAACTCTATGAAAATAATTAGGTCTTCCTATCATTTCTAGGACAATGCCTCACACCATAACAACACATTCCTTTTCTATAATAGCCCCTCTCTGTTTCTCTTAGTCTGGGTATTGCTGGCTTTTCCATTCCATCAAAGGTTTCCTCTCTAATTCACTACCTAATATTAAAACCACAAATGATTTAATTTATCAAGGAGTTTAAGATAAACATTCTCAGTAGAGTAGGCATTTTAAATGGTTCTAATCAGCCTATACTTTGACCCCCTTCTAATACATCAAAGGCAAGGTTCTTTGCTGACTCCCAGGGATAATTATATTTTGCTGTGTTACCAAGTAAATAACTCAACAAGTTTCCAAGGATTCATTTTTTTTTTTAAATCTACAGTAAGGTAGAAAAATATGATAGTATAAGAGTAAAGTCCTAGGTCATAGTGTAGAAAACTCTGTGGACCAACTCTCCCTGCCCTTCACAAAGATTTCTAAAACTTCAGACTATTCAAAAAAATTGAACTTAAAAGTTTATTATAGTCTAGATTCAATAAATGCCAGTTTTTTCAACTTGAGTATCTGGGACACGATACAGAAGTCAAATGAGCATTATTTCATTTCTTTAACAAAAGTGCCTCTGCCTAGAACATTAGGTTTCATGACTATCCCTTCTGATGTTAATTTACAGCCATGAAAGTGAGCTAAGAACTGGTTTATGGAGAATGAAGCTAAATGCAGGGGGGGGGGGGGGGGCCGGGGAGGGGGCAGGCATAACTGTGGCCTTCCCTCCTAGATATTTCATGACCATTGCTACCCTTCCCCCCCCCAGTTAGTGCTTTTTTCCCCCCATTAAAAATAGCATTAGCTGATTGGATGCATGCTCTATGAATGAGATGGGCAGAGTAGAAACATGTAATAGTACATGGTTACATTAGGGACCAGGTCATAGGTTGTCTTGTTTGATGGTTATGTCACTGAGGGGCAGTGGCAATGCACAGAGGGTGCATGTGCACCCCCTGAGAGCACTGATGCACCCCCTGACTGGCTGCACTCACCACTTAGGTGATAGGCAGAGGGGGCAAGCAGGAGCACTGGTGTCCCCCCTGCAAGTTCTGGCCAGTCACTGCAGCTGCTCCCAGAAGCAGCTGCAGCAATCAGCCATTGCAGGATCAGGGCAGCAGGATCAGCCGCTCAGGGAATCACCCTCCCTGGTTGTGCCTCCCCACCCCGACTAAGGTAGCACGAGTTGCCCATGCTGAAGGGTTTCGTCAGAGTTTGGGAACCAAATCACCAAATATGGAGGGAAATCC